AAAATGGCCTTAAATTTCCAACTTGACCTGTTCCTAATTATCTGTGTTAATTTCTACTCTTCTTCTGGTTCAGTCAGCATCATCCTCACTCCCTCACCACTGGTTTTTTTTTTTTAAGATTTATTTATTTATGCATACAAGAACTGGGGTACAGGTCAGAGGTGTGGGGAGTGAGAGGATTCACCAGAAACAGAGTGGGGAACAGAACAGGCAGATTGACTGAAATACACTGCTGAGGGGAGCAGCGGGTGAGTCAGGAGAGGTCTGCTGTGCCATGTGGGTACTCCCTGGCTGGGGATCGAACTCATGCTGCAATGGCTGTAGATAGCTTCATAGGTTGCATCCCAACCAAGGAGGCCCCCTCCTTGCCATTCTTTAAATATTCCAGGTGTGCTCCTAACATAGGGTCTTGCACTGATTCTAACTTAGTTCTGAAATTCTTTCCTTCATCACAGTTGATTCCAGGTCTTTGCTCATGTGTTACTCTTTGAGGCTTACCCTAAACACCCCATTTAAAATTTCATCCATCCCCACCTCTGATGCCAATTGCTGCTCTTGATTTTTGTTCATCTTTCCAGATTAATGGAAAATAGACTCATTAATTTATCATCTAAGAGAAAAATAAATGAGATTATAGTTGTCACAGACAATGTAAGAGTCATTACTTCTGAAAGCTGAAATAATTTGCATATAAATGTTTAGCAAAACTTTCATGAAAGAAGTAAAATTTTGAGATATCATTTTGTATATGAGTGTGGGACAAATAAGCAAAGGTTGGGAGATTTGGAAGTAGTTTTGACCAAAACCAAAAATTAAGCATAATATAAATGTACGTATTCAATATATTGCTAAAGTAGGTTAGTTAAATTATTGTTCAAAAGGAATAGGGTAGCACATTCATTTCTATATATGATGACCAACTTTTTTCAAACTACTGAGGACAATTATAAAAAGCCAAGAAAGGAAATATGCCATTGAAAAATATCCAGAGTATCAAGATATTATAGTTAGTAGATGCAAATATGAAAATAACTGTAGCTGATACATGTTTACAAAGTTGGAAATTTTCAGTGGAAAATAGGAACCTATAAAAAAATCAAATAAAAATATTTGATGAAAAACAGAAGATATTTTATCTGAACTGTATAAAAAATTGAAATATCAAAACATTGGAATTGCACCACAAGTCATCTTTAGAGGAAAACATAGTATTAGAGATAATATATTTTTTAAGAGAATGGTTAAAAATTACTGATTGAAGCTTCCATATCAAGAAACTAGCAAAAGACAACTAAGTCAAACAAACACAAAATAGAATATAGGAAATAATTAAAAGGAAGCTAAATTTAATGACACAGAACAGGAGCAAAAAAACTAAAGAAACAGAATTATCAAAGCTAAACATGTAAACAACAAAGAATCCCAATCTTACACAAGCTTTTCCCGATATGGAGAAATAGGGACTATTTACTATTTCCCAACTTCTTTTAGGATTAGGAATGGGGAGCAGGGAATAGAATTACTTTTTCTAGGTCTGGGGTGCCTGACCTAAAGAGTCTTCCACAGCCTTCAGGGTTGTGGAAGAGCCTTCAACAGTCTATGGAAATATACCTGAATAAGGGCCAGTAGAACAGGGAGACTTACAGCAGGACAAACCATGCCATTTGCAAATGTTTCATGGACCAAAAGAGCCAATTCTATGGAAAGAGACTTCAACAGGGGAGGTAAGCAGGAGAAAGGGCAGTGCCCCCAAATTGATGAGAAATACTTATCAGTAGAGTTCAGCAGAGGTCAAAACTCAATCAAAAACCAAAGTCCATCTCCCTCCTATACTCATAATGACCCCCAGAAGCAACTCATCCCTGCCCCAACTTTAGGGAAAATCCTAGGGAAGGAAGAAGAAGACCTGAACCCACTAAATTAAAAACTATGTTAAATTAGGTCAAATGTTACACTGACATTCAGAATTTTATACAAATCTACCTCAAGCCATTCACTTCTCTATAAACATGGATTGTATGTTTATACTTCTGCATATAAGCTAATAATATTTCTCTTGAATTCCCTGAAATTCACCAACTGTGCTTTATTTATATCACTAGCGCCTTACACATTGTCTTATATATAATGGGTCTTATGTATAATTCAATGCTTCTGAGTCAGTGAATGAGCTGTATAGATAAATGAATAAATAAAAGAGTCAGTGAATGCAAAATGAACGACTAAAATGGCCTTCTTAGAAATATCTCCCTATTTGAATCTTACCTGACTTTCCAGGATCAGGTAAAGACTCATTATTTTCTCTAAGAAGGATTTAGGGAGCATTTCTGCCATATATTTTTTTAACTTGTCAATCACTGACATTTACCTTATATCATCTTGTATTATTCCATTACATAGACATATATCTGCATATGTATGGAAACATAACTTCCTCCAAAACATTATTTGAGAACAGACAGGATTATATACAGGCTCCTAAATCAATACCTTTCCTCACTTTGACAAAGCTTGCCAATAGCGGAAAAAAATGCAAAGTAAGGCGTGAAGTATAACTAAAAATGTGTCTGTCTTGGGACTCCAAGTATCTAGCAGATGGCAAAGTTTAACCAAACTCATCTACTATGTCATTGGAACAGCACACAGCAAATTCTCACAATCATGCTTTCATGGAAATGATTATGGAGAAGAGAAACATATTTTTTAAAAAGGGAGAGATGCAAGGTGGTAGTCTTAGTTGGGTTGTCACTCTCAGGCTAATTTTGTTGCACATTCTTGCACTAAATCCTTTAGTGCTTATACAACATTTAGTCAATTTTGAGGTGATGAATATGAAAATGCACACTGTCATTATTGATAATATTTTGATTATAATTATATTATTTGTTTAACATTCATTAAAGGAAACCAGGAAAATTATATTTGGAAAATAACTTTTTAATGCAGCTTAAGTGTGTTAAGTCTGGGACAGACGTGTGGTTAAATGTACAAGTTTATGAGTTACTCTTTTTTTTTTTCTTCTCTAAATTCAAAATGCCAAGCAAATCATTGGTTTTGGAATCAAAGGACTCCATTGCACTACAGTCTTCAAAATAGTATTTTCATAGTCAGTCAATGATTAAAATTTACATGCAAAAAAGAAAAATGGAGATCAACATTCATATTTTAGGAAATGTTTGCATTACTTGCATTTTACACTTAATATTCTTTACCCCAGAGGAAATATCTTTTCCCCAAATCAACAAACATTACATCTGCTCAACATATTTACATGGGTTTTGTTAATGCTTATCAATGTAACACTTCCCTTATGAAATAATGAACACCATTCATTATTCACATCTATTTTCCATTGTGTTCACATACTAAGACAAAGAAACACAAGCAACTATCTTTAGAACAGTAAGTTTGAATTCCCTCTCAAGCACAAATTTCTATGTTAAAATAACTATTTTTTAAGGATTGCTAAAAATAGATTCCAACTAAACATTCTCTCATTAATTCAGGCTTATTCTAGGATTCTTATCTATTGTTTCATCAACATATAATGAGACTTTCAGTAAATCTGAAATTTAGCCATGAATATCTTAAAAAAAATAGATCTGGCTTTCAAGATTAATCTTTGCTTTACAATTAAAAAAATTATAAAGCTATTTTTGTAATGATGAGTATCATATACACACTAGTTGATATTTAGCATGTGTTTAACACATTTGCTCAATAACTAAGTGCTTTTATGGCATACTTATATGATTAGATTCCCACATTTCAAAGATTTATTGTCTATTGGTGTCAACCTAGAGTAACTTATTACCTAAGCCACTCTATAATATGCAAGCATGATTTGCTTTTTTCTTAATTTTCAAGTGATTATATTAAAATATTCTCTAATATTTCTCCTTTTTCAGACTTGAATCAAACAAAAACCTTTGACTGTATCAAAGAACTAATTCCTTCCATGCAAACTTCTGTGATGGAGTCACATTGCTGCTCACTTACTTCTCATCAGAGAATTTCCAAAATACCCCTTTGAACTGCAACCAAAAATCTGAAATAGTTCTCCGAGAGATCTGAGCACTTGTTCTGGGCTAGTTAAGTACAGCCATAGACTTCTTCCCAGGCTTCATTTTCTCCTTTAAATATTTTTTCTGGATTTAATTCAAAATGTGCTTTTAGTTTTAAAATTTCTCTGAACCCAAAAGTCCACGGGAACTCGGCATTCTAGTCCTAACTCCCTGCATCTCTCATCCTGAACACTGCTAATTTTGACCTCCTCACCATCTCGCTGCTGTTTGTCTGACACAGGAGCTGTGTCTGAACTCAATCCCCAAACACTTTTGAATTTGTTCCCCTTTTCCTGTGATAGGCATCCCTTGCAATATTACATGAGTTGCTATTTGCATTCCACTCTATTTTGTTTTTTTCCTCTAATTTTGGAATGTGATTCCTCATTTTATCTATGTAATCACACTCTAAATTGATTCATTTATATACAGATTTGTTATTTAGATTTACTCTGGCTGTAAAAGAATATAACATTGACAACATCAGTTAAAATAATATGTATAGGAATTCTTGGCTTCATTAAATATACAATCAATTACCTTAAATAAATAAAACTTAACTCTCCAACAAAATTCCAAACAATGATTAATTCCACCTTCTGTTTCCTTTCCCATTTTAATCTAATTTTTAATTTATATTTTGTAACACTAGTCAAAATCTATACTTGTCCACATTCCTCTAGAATGTCTCCACAGTCTGCTCCAAAGATATTTCATAAAAGTATACTTTTTAATAGATCTATGAAAACATTAAGTAATCAGTTTACAGTAAGCAAAATGTCTCAGAAATTGCCAGTGCTAGTAAATTATGCATTTTATTTTTAATTAAAACAGTTGATTTTAAACTAAATCCATTCCATTATTCTCCTTTAGGTTGGCTTTGTTATAATTTCCATCTTAATTAAAAATTAAAAATAGTTAAAGAAAATATCTTACCCCAAAAGTTCTCTGGCCATGGACTCCCTAAACTTGTCGTGTTATTAGCCATAATATCCACAAGAAACAGAAGAGAGAAGAAGGAAAAGAGAAAGAGAGAAAAGCCAGAATGTCCAAAGCAAGCACTTAGATTCTAGGTCTTTGTGGTTCCGCAGGAGAAAAATAATTTTCACACAACCCCTCATATACTTGTGTTTGCATAAAAGGAAATAAGTGTATCGTGTTTCCTGCTTTTATACTCAAATTAGCAACTGTTTTTCTTATCTTGGAATTCCACATGGTTCCTGAGACACAAAACAATTTCCTTCTCGTCATTTCCTGGCATATTACTAAGTACCCTCCTCTGCCACCTCTGAACTGCTTCAGGGGCAAGAAACTCCCTTTCTGATTCTTTCCCCATCTCTCACCGGCACACAAAAGAAGGTTCCAAACTCTCAGTGCAGCCCTGGGTACTAAGCTCATATGGAACAGAGAAATAGACTGCTCTCCAGTGTTTAAAAACCGTATTTAGATAGTAAGTGTGTCTGGAGGGGAAGATTCAGAAATCTACATTCTATTTAAGGACAATTCATTTTATCTAATGCTCATTCTTTAAAAAATCTCAGGAATTTTAAATTTTTTAACTTGTCTATTTGGTATATTCATTTTGAGGAGTTATTTTTTAACTCATCTAATAAATATCTACCTTAAATGAAATTGATATTTAATTTTTATTACTTTTTAAATAGTACTTAAATAGGAAGGAGACTGTCTTTATACTGAAGGAACTCTTTAAAATCAAGAAGGGAATCACCAATACAACCATTCTATCTACTGTAGCAGATCATTAAATGATCTGCTACATACCAGGAGGACGATTACTGTCCCTTTTTCTCCTGGAGGTGTCTGAGAAAAGTGATGATTTTTGTACTCTGTATTAAAATATGAAAATACTTTTACCCAGTGGGGAGAGCTGGAAGATAGTTCATACTGGGATGTTCTGGGTGTGAACAGAGGAAGAATGACAGGAGGCTTTCCAGGAGATGTAGTTTAGGTAAAATTGCAAGAGTCTCTGACTGCAGACTTCATTAGACCAGATCCTCAGAGCATTCAGAAGCCACTAGAAGGGTTGCAATAAACAGCATTCGATAATCTCATTTTGCACAATTTTGATTAATTCGAGCATGAACTTGTGTCACTCTTGCATTTACCCTAATTGTTAACAAAATATGGTTCCTGTGAGGTGGTAACCATCTTTGTGATACCTGTAATATATATGCCAGGAGCTACAGGAAAATCTGAAAAAGTAACATAAAATTCATCCTATAGTAACTTTTTTTTTTTAATTGAGGTCTCATTAGTTTACAACACCGTTTGGGCTCTAGAGGGACAGGCTCGCACCCCCTCAGAGGATGTCACCACATCACATCCACCACCAGAGCATCCATCTTTCCTTACCATAGACCACTGGGCCCCCTTGCCGATTTGATCCCACCCCCACTGGTAACTGGTAACTCCCTCCCTCTCTGGCAACTTCAATTCCACAGTTAGATTTCCAGGATTTGTTTTGACTTAGTCTTGACTGTTCCTTTGTTTTGTTTCTCTATATTCCACATATGAGCTAACACATCCTTTCTTTTCTTTCCCCTTCTGACTTATTCATAGAATAAGTCCCTCAGGTTCCAGCCATGTTATTGCAAGAGTTCTTGTTTTTTATAGGTGAGTAGTATTCCATTATGTATATACACCACAACTTTTTTTTAAAAGATTTATTTTTATTTATTTATGCATACAAGAGCTGGGGTACAGGCCAGAGGTGTGGGGGTGAGAAGATTCACCAGAGACAGAGTGGGGAACAGAACAGGCAGACTGATGAAATACACTGCTGAGGGGAGCAGCGGGTGAGACAGGAGAGGTCTGCTGAGCCTTGTGGATTGGCTCGGGATGGAATTCATGCGGCAGTGGCTGGTGATAGCTTGATAGCACTGAGACTTTAACCCCTGCGCCACCAGGGAGGCCCCACATCATATCTGCTTTATCAACCCCTCCATTGTTGTGTTCTTAGGTTGTTTCCATAGCGTAGGAGTGCATGTATTCCTTTAAATTAGCGCTTTGCATTATCCTCCATTAAATTTTGCAGTTCTGATTCTCTAAAAAACTAAATTGCTCCTGTTCATTTTCTTAATATTAATAGATTTACATTACTAACTATAAATTTATTGAAAATCAAAATACTGACAACCTAAAAGAGAATAATAGAATGTTAAGAAAATTTAGAGATTTCACTGAACAAATACCATGACTCGTGTCTATAATTTTCTTACTAAGATTAATTTCCATATGATCAAGTAAATAAAATATTCATGTTGTTTAATAAAAGTGAAAAAGAGATCATATTTTAAGTTACCTTTAATTTTCAATATTCTTTACAAACTATAATAATAGAAACGTAAAATACCTTATGTTTGAAAAAACATACTCTGGATGAAAGTATATTGAAGTATTTATAAATTCTAGACACATAGAGTGGAATTCTTACTATATGAATTTTTAAATATACAATTTACATTATTTAGGCAGCTTGATTCAATTCATACTCATTTCAAAAATGGATACAATTTTATAAAGAGTTATACAGAGTGGATGTACCCTACAACAGCGAACCAAATGATAACGGGAGAGTCTGGCTTTGTCGAAATTGCCTTCTTTGCAGATATCCAGCTCGTTCCACCTCAGGGCTGGGATGCAGGCTGACACTTCCTTTCATTGTTTCGTGTTTAGTCATCTAGATTTTCTCCCAGTAAGTTGTGACTTTTGCAGATGGTCAGAACCCAATCAAAATCCTGAAGAAAATTATTGTGTTATCAGTTTGCGACCTAAGAATATTTTTCTTTTCTATGAACAGCTTGCTGAAAGCATTTATTCTTATCTGTGCATGTCATTTGCTTGGTATGGATTCATGCTTTTCCTCGGCAGATATCCATCTGAGGGAGTGTTTATGTCTGTGATTTTCGAGTCCCATGACTTTGTAATGCCAAAACAGGAAGTTGATTTTTATCTTTACCAAAAGGTTGTCTGCTGCTGTGCTACTCATTATTTCACAAGTTGGGTCTTTACAGCTGGAGTCTTCAGACATCATAAAACACTTGAAGGGCCGCCTCTTCCCTCAGAGTCACGGGACTCACCACCTCCTTCACTGAGGATCTCTCCTCAGAGATGACCTCCCCACCAGGAATTTGCTAACCACTGGATACAAAAACATTAACTCAAAAGGATACCTGCAACCCTAGGTTTATTGCAGCAGTATTTACAATAGGTAAGATGGAAACAACCCAAATGCCTCAAAATAGATGATTGGATCAAGATGTGGTATATATACACAATGGAATACTATTCAGCAATCAAAAAAGATAAAAGTCATGCCATTCACAGTAATATGGATGGAGCTAGAAGGGATTATGCTCAGTGAAATAAGCCAGAAGGAAAAAGAAAAGTATCAGATGGTTTCACTTATAGGAGCAATGTAGGGGAAGCAAATAAGGGCCGGGAAAAAAAATAATTATAATAAATTAAAAAACAAAATAAACAGGTTACATACATGAAAATCTAAAAGCTAGAGTCTAACATTCTCCAAATCGCTGTGGAGATAAAGATAATTTCTATTGCCCCAGGAACAGTATGTCCTGAATGAGCTCAACCCACTGAAATTTTATGGACTGCATGGTCCCCATGCCAGAGAGACCCCAGGCACAAGGACTGCAACTCCCATCATGACTTCCTGAAGGGGGGATTGCTGGGAACTCGGGGTGGAGCTCAGCAGCCACCCTTGATGTAAAAGCAAACACACGTGGGCCCTGTGGCTCTCCTGGTTGTGCCTGCCTTCAGCGTGCACCTCGGGCCCCAGCTCTGACTGCGCTACCGGTAGGACATGCCAGTTAATCTGTGTGTGTTCATCCCTCCTCTTCTCATTGCCCTTGTAAATAACCCTTTTACTGCCTTTCCCTGTGTGCCTGCCCTTGGGCTTTGGCCTGAGCTTTTAAGCGCTGGAGGGTGAGTTTCCTTTGGGGTTGTGCTGTAACAGTATCTTTTCTAGGTTTGCACACCTTCATGCTCCTCTGAGTGAGCCTCTGGTAAGTGGTGGTCAAATTCAAGGCAAGATTGTGCTTGGAGATGTCCAGGGAGAAGAGAGCCTGGGTCAGACATCGGTGCTCAGGACAGTTGTCACAACCTGCTAGTCAACCCAACGCAAACAATAACAATGGAAATCATCTTGCAGGCAGTGATTTGTCCATCTTGCCTTGACTCAGGAAGATAGGAAAGAAAACAAGACTCCTCTGAGAATTCCTAAAATCTGTGCTTACCTGTAAGAGGGCAGAATACATAGCACCAAAAAACATCAAGTTGAAAATGGATTTAGCTGTGTTAGGAGTAGCCGGCATGCCCAGGGAAGTAAGGGAATACAGTTTCAACCACAGTCTCAAAGAATTCACAGATACAAAAATTCAAAGAAACAAGGTTTACTATTAAAAAAAACCCACAATAAGCACGTGATAGGTAGGATCCCCTAAACATGTCCACACCCCAATATCTAGAACCCCCTTCCTGTCACGTTTTTTGCATTCCCTGTTCCTATTCCCTGAAACTTACCACTTTACATAGCAAAAGGGCCTTTGCAACTCTAAAGAAGGGGACTGGGAAATATCTGAGTCAGCCCAGCATAATCTAAACACATAAAAGCAGACACCGTTCTCTACCTAGAGTGGGAGAGATGTGGTGGAAGAGAGAGAAGATGAGAGGCAGCTGAGAGGAAGCCAGCACGACCCCAGCCTTGGAGGATCCAACACACCGTCGTTGTCTGAGAAGTGGGTGCTGCCTGCAAGGACCAGCGAGAACCTTCTAGGTGCCAGGGGCTGCCCTCAGCTGACCGCCACCAGGAATGGGGAGCTCAGTCCCACAACCTGAAGGAACTGAGTCTGGTCAACATCCTGCAGTTTGGAAGCACGTTCTTTGGCGGAGCCTCCAGTGAAGGGCACCACCCCACTGGCATCTTGACTTCGTCTCACCAGGTGGAGCAGAGAAATCAGCTAAGCCATGCTGTAGTCAGACTTCTGACCCAGGGAAGCAGATTATTTCCAAAGGAGCTCAATTCCGCTAAAAGCTGACCTGTAATAGTAATCACAAAAAAGCCAGAGGCAATGAAATAACCGTCAAAGT